CCCCAAAACCCCAAAACCCCATCAAATCAAAGTATCTGATATTCATCGAAATTGAATTAAATGTCCTTATCAGATTTCTTCAGAAATTCTCTTGCAATAAATCATATCGTTTAAAGATATTTAGACTCGAAAGGGACAACCCCTAAGATTACTCAGACTTTTAAAGCCTATGTCAGAGAAATCTAAACTTTTAACCCACACAGTGAAAAGGAGAAAGTAGTCATTATGATCTTAACTGACTTCTTTGTTGAAATACCTTGTAGACTCACTATTAAAGGAGCCTAGTATATAAGAGACACCTATCCACTATGCTTTAAAAATGTACCTTATTCCTTAGAGAGAATGATCATTAATGTCACTGACTACCAAATTAAAACTAATATTTGCAGGAATTACTCAACATCACTGTAGAATTTTGACATAGTTATATGGATAGATTAATTGAAGATAGTATTCTGCGAAAGACTTAGGCCTGAAGACTTAGACCCAAAACTCAACAATCCTAATAGTAACTAAAGAATGATGTATTCACATAGAGCTAGGACTATAACTTAAAATTATCATTGCATATCTTCCATAAAATACTTTCTACATCATTAAGCTAAGGTTAATGCCCAACAGGAGTTCAAATTCGACTAGCTTTAAGATATACAGACATTTGTTGATCCAAATCTTTTAAAGCAAAGAGATAGTATGATTGCTCTGAGTTTTGAAAAATAATAACCATAAAATGAATAGAACATGGAAACAGATGTAGGAACAACAGGTACATCAGATTCTAAGTATGTGGATGAATCAAGATCAGATTAATATATGGAAGAGATATTTATAGAGATTCGAGACTCACAGGAATCGGAGGAGAGTCAAAATATACTTAAGTCAGAATAACAACCCTGCAAGTAGTTAACTCATACAGCTAATTTAGATGATTTTGATTACTTATCTTATAAGAGGGATGTGCTATAGTCTAAGCCTGGATATTTCCTTACTCCGTCATAAGATATAGATTCTATAAATTTAAATAAAACTGCATAAAGTCCCCCTAAATTGACTTAAGCTAATGTTCAAGACGATCCTGACTTGGAAGATTAGTAGATAATTGAGGAGGCTACACTTATCCTCAAGCAAGAGGCGTCCTAAAGCTAGAATACTCTAATCAATCAGATTATAGTAAAGCAGGAAAATCACAATAATGATATCAATCATGAAATGAGCAGCGACAGTTGTTATTTAGAGGAAATTAATGAAATTATAATGCTAGAAGAGAGCACTCCTGAATCTTAAAATGCTTAAAACTATCAATGCTTGAACTAGCCAAAAACTGACTTTTTAATTGACAAATATCAACGCATTCAGAAATTAGTGTCCAACTTCATTAAAAATGATGATTGGACTTTTGAGTAATAAAAATAGATGCGATTGTTAAGTGGATTAGATTAAGTTAGCAATTCATATAAGGAAATTGAATATGAAAAATAGTGTGAGAGAAGGAGATAAATGCTAATTGAAAAGTCTATTTAATTTTGAAATAAATATTACTTATTGTTTCTTTTGAATATCATTTTAAGTATCTTGGGGTTTTGGGGTTTTGGGG